ACACACATACTTTAAGCTGTACTGTAATTTCAGGCATATATAGTGTTTTATGACCGGTAATAACTGTTGTGTCTTGCCTTTTTCGACTGTTCATCAGGCGAAGACTCAGTTGATGTGGTGCTCTAGGAGGAAAAAAAAAATCCATGAAAAAAATAATTCTGTCTTCAAGACAGGAAAGTCATTTAAACTACAATCCTAACTAAACAATATTAACAATAATGATGTTTGCTCTTACGGTTGTTCCAGGAGCAGCCGGTGCTGAAATAGAACAAAACCACTGATTACATTTAGAAATATTAATCAACAATATGACGTTTACCCACAACTATTTAATCTCTCACCTGCAGACTCCACTGGACTCACACCAGGCTGAAAAGGACATAAAGAAAAAGAGGGTCTCATTACAAAAAGTAAACCATTCAATGGAATAAGCTAATGTATGTGTGATATCTTTGAAAGGACTTGAAACTTCACATCATCCAAGAAAGCCCTGTCAATAATTGTTGGAATTAAAGTAGTCCATGAGCAGATCTATCAGAGCTAACTTCATTAGCAGCCTCCTTACCTCAAATTACAGGAAAGGGAAATGACATCCTGACTGACAGCTCCTGGAGTGTCAGCTGGTTTCGGCATCTGATCAGATGTCTTCATCTCCAGCTCAAAGCCTGGCGCTAATTATTACTGATGCTATCACTATTTAATATGGTTAACCAGCGAAAGGCTGTTTGATGCTTAATATAGCTGATTAAATGAAAGCAGATCTTAATCACCACTGAGGAGGTGTGTTCAAAATAAAGAACTGCACACGTATGGTTTGTTTGTTCTTATATAAATACAGTGAATGGAAACTGTGTCCTTTCATCCTGTTGTCCTTTGAAACACAAATGAATTAAGCCACTCTAATTGAACTGGCCTGCTTCATGTTATTGGTCAGATATGACTCCACTTTCCACACATTTCTCTCCGTGTACATTATACACCATCACATTAAGAATTGCTCACAGCTAATGTGTAGGTACTGCCTTCCTTTTAGAAATACATAAAAAATGCAGACATTAAGTGGGTCATATCATACAATTTAACATTAAATATTGTAATGTTAGTAATTTTGATAATGTTTGTATTTTTTGGCTTAATATAGCTCCATCAATTAGTAAAAGCCTCTTTGCAAAACTGAATTTCATTGAGTCTGAAATGAAATGCATCATACCATTCAAAGGTTTGGGGTCGGTAAGATATTATCTTGGTGTGTGTGTGGGGGGGGGGGGGTTCTGAAGGTTACAGTATGTTTGCTTCCTGGTGATCCCTTTATTTACATTGATGTTTTTCATTACCATTTTCCACCCTCTCTGAGAGGCTGCTGAATACTGAAAATGTGGATGACTGAGCTCATGATTGTGATATCATGATGATTTCTGAATGCTGTTTTTATGGTTTAGTTTCAAATGGTCTGGGTGGACTAAAAAAGCAAGAAAAATCCAGTTGACCATGATGTGATGCTTTTATTAAAGTCTAACTTAAAGGGGTCATATGATGCGATTTCAATTTTTCCTTTCTCTTTGGAGTGTTACAAGCTCTTGGTGCATAAGTAACAATGCTGGGAAGGAGACGTACAGCATCATACACTGAAATAAATTAGTAGAGCAAGCTGATCTCATCTGCTACTATCACTCATGTCACATGGGTAAGTGCTATAAAAAATGGTGTTGATTCTAAATTGGGACATTTTCCCACTTTGTAGTGTTCATTGGGGTTATTCTGACACTGCTGACAGCATGTGAGGGTCTATATTTAACCGGCGCTGGTGGAGTAGTGTGATATACAGGCTAGTTTACCGGTCCTGTAGGCTGGATTGATGCAGTTGGCATACGGGGGGGCATCATCATTCCTGGCATCATTGGTGGCATCATGGCTGGCATCTAAGAAAAGAGTTTCATGAAAAATTAATGTGAACTGCTAATTTCCCTCCTACGCTGCACAGGGGGAGATCAAGGTGTGAGCTGAGGGGTGTAAAGCACATCTTGTGCTCTGTAGTCTACAGTCCCTCATTACAGTCTGATCCTCACACTCACAGCCAAAAACATCCACTAACATGCCATTCACACACACGCACACAAAGATGGAACATCAGGTCCAATAAGACAACACTATAGCAATCATATCAATGATTTTACATGACTATATTCATGTTCAAATTAGGGTTGTGATGTTGAGGAAATTTTCCCACCTGTTAATCGACGTGTGACAACACCGGTAATCACCGTGGGGCCGGGGGTTCCCTCTTTTCCTCGCTTTCCTTCGCTTTTAAATAGCTTGTAGTGTGCCCATTTTACTTTAACTTTCAAATAGTGGCAATTCGGAGTAAAGCAATTGTTCGTTTTTAGTTCGTTTGAATTTTCCCTCTTTTCTAAGTTCCCCTCAGACATACATTCATATAAACTCCTGCCCCTAACTGAATCGCGATTTGTTTAGCATCTCAACCGATTTGAATCGTCACATATTTGAATCGATTTTCAACCGGCTCGCGGTTAATCGTTACATCCTAGTAGCTTATAACTGTATTAACGTCCACACCAATGGATGATAACATTCTGTGTTTTTATAAATGCACACTGCAGTTACATCATCAGCCGCTTTAAATGCTCAAGCTTTTTAAAGTGGATTTTGATTGGCTGTCAGTGTCTTCATTGTTCATCTGCTGAAACCAAAACGCTCAGAAAGTAATTCCAACAGTATCGTCCCACATTGTCGATATTGTTATAGCTGTGGTGTGGATTTTCCTACTCTTAATGAATCAGAATGATTCATTTTTGACACCAGTAGTGAATTTTATCGGAAGAGCAGGGGTCTCATTTATAAACGTTGCCTACGCACAAAATGGGCATAGAAGTATTTTCCACACACATATCGGGATTATTTATAAAAAATAAACTTGGTGTAAATATGTACACACCATACGGACATTCTAGACCATGCATACGCACTCTTTTTCCTGGAGTGAGAAAAGTAATTAAGTTTGTTACGAATGAGATGACTGAAACTTTGATTTCTCCAATAATTACTGAATTAACAATAAAAGTAGAGATGCACCGATCGATCGGCCAGTGATCAGAATCGGCCGATTTTCCTCATGATCGGCCCGGATCGGTGATCGGTCGGTCAGTCTCACTTCTTTCCGATTTCGAGCCTATCCGTTTTGTTACCAGCGACACAGGCAATAACGTCAGCCGCGCATTCTCGCTCTCTTCTCTCCGACGACCCCTTCTCTCTCACACACGTCTCATTCACTCCGGTTAAATAGTGCTTGTATTGAGCATTATTTTAGTCATTCCCGCAAGTTTCACGCTAATACCAAACGCGCGCGCACCACCACTGATCTATATTAGTGGAGCGCACAATCCGCGCACAGTCTCAAACAGCTTGTGAGCCACAAATACCAAAATGAGTGGCTAACTGCGCTAAAACGTTCAAATACATAAAAAATTATGTCAAAATGCCCGTTTCGGCGAGTATCCAGTTAAACAGTCAGTTTTGGAACGTTAAATAGTTGAGAAAGAGAACGCATGTTGTGTAACAACAGTATATTGGGTCCGTGGATAAACTATTAAAGGGACCGCAGTCCAATATCTATGCTGCTGTCTGTCATGTTAATCACAGAACAAAAGACAAAGAAAATCATTTTCTGCTCTTGACTGAATATGTTTTATAACTTTAATGGTAAGCATTAATCTGTATTTAATTTTTACAATGTTTGCCTTTTTTTTTTGTGTTCTTATTTTATTACTGACTTTTTACTTGTTTTTTTATGAAAATAAAACTTTGCGTTGAAGAAAAGTATATTTTTGTTTGTATATGCTGTCAATTATAGTTCTTAGAAAGAAAATCGGAATCGGCAAAAATTGGTATCGGCAGATCACACTAACGAAAAATCGGAAATTGGAATCGGCCAAGAAAAATGCAATCGGTGCATTTCTAAATAAAACACATTACTTTCCTCACATTCACACGTGTCAGATTTTAGTTCTTTAAATATTATCTGCCGTAAAATGTACAATCTAGTTCTTCAAAATTTCAGATAACGATTATTTGTAGCACGACCACTAGTGAACCAATTGGCGAATCGCTCTAATTCTGGATCACTGTAATAACAACTCAATCATTATTTAAATCAGCACCCACTGAACTTCAAATATGAAGAATCATTACTATCCTATACACACTTAAAATTACAGACAGATCGTTCATGTAACAATCCTTGCGTCCAAATTTGCGTACTCTCAGAGAGTATACTACAGTTGATGAAGAACTTACTTCATGACCGTTAATATGACGTCCATCCATACGTAGTAAATCCACCACGATGGCAATGTCATGTGACATACAATGTCAGCCGCGCTGTGTTACTGTTCATGCAGGTAGGCTACTTTGCATGTGTGAATGACCGTGTCCGTAAGCTACCATGTAAAAACCTGATTTAAAAACACTGCATCCTTTCAAAGCAAAATCTGACTGCCATAAGCAGTGTTTGCTATTAGCTCTTACCTGTCCTATGGGTGGAGCTCCCATCGGGGGGATCATGGGGGGCATTATTCCCGGGGGCATGGGGGCCATGCTGGGCGGCCTCTGGCCCATGGGTGGCATTCCCATTGGAGGGAAGTGAGGCGGGATTCCTGGTGGCCCCATCTTTGAAAACAAAAATAAATTCAAGGCATGAATGAAGGTGAACACTACCAAGCATTCGCAAAGAGAGAGAGAGATGGCTTTACAGTAAAGACTTTCCAACACCAACTTACAAAGGGCGGGGGGATTCCTGAAGGTGGTACACCAGGAAAAGGTGGTGCTTGACTGGGGCCACTATTAGCATCAGTCGAAGACTGTTATGAACAAAAGAGTCCATTACAGTAACCACTACAGCTCTGATAAAGATGCAGCACATCACTGATTTAAAGTGTGATGAGGTTTTCACAAACCTGATGTAATCTGACAGAGCCATACATAACATCCAAGCTTATATGAGCAGAACTATCAGTGTCAGATGTTTCCTAAATATTTCACTCATACCAACTAGCATAACTTCAAGGCTATTAATAGACAGACTTCATATGTATAGCAAACCAGTGATTTATAATCTTCTTGCCCTTAACAAACCAAGCAACTGAGAACTCAATCAACTATCATCAGAGTTTGACAAATCAAAAGTTCCCTCTCATTTTCATCGGGGATATATCAATTATCAGTCTCCGATTATCAATAAAAACTCAGTTTATCATACAAGTCATTGTGATGGACTTTATATCCTTTACGGTCTCATCAACATCAGTGCAGCCTTTTTAAGGAAACGGATGATCATAAACAAACTCCTTACAAACATAAATGTTTCACACAGTCAGATTTGTAACACGTCTAACACGTGCATTAAAAATATCCATAATAAATCCAAACTCTCATTCAAACACTCGTTAGCTTTAGCTTTAGCATCAGTCACTCATTCACATTAGCCTACATGCTAACCAACATTTATTTTGTCTATAATATACCCATTACTTCACTACACGTCTTTAACCCAAGCGTATAAACCGTTCATTGTTAACATGTGTCATTTGTAAATGCTAGAATATGCCAGTTTGGTGTTTATGTTAATAAACTGTCTGGTTTTTTTGGACTCACCATGATGAGTGAACATGCAGAGGCCCTCCGCGAGACAAAAACCTACGCTCTGATTGGCTGCTGCGTGTCGGGTTCAAACTACAGCAGGCGTGTTTCAAGTGCAACAACACTGCGTACGAAGCGCGCATATACCAGGTCGAAGCGCAGGAAATAAAAACACTGGAGAGCTGCGCAAGAAATACGCATATCTGAAGCCTGAGTACAAGCGACATTTAGGCAGCGATGACGAGCTGTCATGTTAATTGTGTGATAAACAACAGAGGACTAATACAGTAAATAAACAATAAAAACAGATTACTTCATTAAATATTATTAAACATTTTATGAAATATTGTGATTATAAATGTTATTATTTCATTTGTTTATACCTATTTCAGTACCTTGTCTTTGAATTTCTATTCTGTGATGATGCAATGTATTTATTTACAATGAATGAATACAAAACATTTTATTTAAAATAATATTAATTTATTATACAATATGCATGTATTTAACTCATACATCCTAACGCCCACAATCCTAGTAGCGGCACTACATAGTGTGCACATTTTAAATGCACACAGCTAAAAGACCGTTAGCTAGCCTAGCAAGGGATGATGCCGTTTTGTAGGCCAAAACATGGAAATGAGTTAGCATTTTAGCACTTACAGTTCTATCGTCCTGAAGTCAGTGTGTTGTTTGAGTGGGTTTTAAAGGGATAGTTCACCCAAAAATGAAAATGTGATGTTTATCTGCTTACCCCCAGAATGCCTGAAATAATGTCTGTGGTCAACACAAGCTAAATACTTCAAAATACATCAGTGTGATTTTTCAAAGCTTTTACATGTCTTGTCTGAACTATACAGGTTGTCGGGGGACATTAAACATCACACACACCAAACAGGGAAACTCACTCACACACTAGTCGCTTTCACAGCCTCATGGTGTTTATATTTGCGCTCACTCTTGCTAATTATTCTAACAAAAAAGTTTTAGGGAAATTTTTTTTTTTTTTTAATAAAGACTGAAAGAGTTGTCAGAAACTTAAGGTGAAGTCATGCGTCATTCACTTACATTTTGCTTTTTACTTCTGCCAATTGTAGTTTGGCTTCAAAATTCAAAAAGTTTTGTTCATTTGTAAAGATTTTTATAATGTGTAAGAAAACCAAACGTGTAAAGGCCAATTCACACCACACCGACAAACGCCAACAGACACGTTGGCCGCTGGATTTAGAATTTTATGAAAAATAACTGTCATAAGAATCATAAACTTTTGTTGGTCACATATTTTCAGCAATAATCCAACAGCCAATGGAAAAAATCCTACTGGGAATTTTTTTGTGGAAACCAGGGTGATGTTAACTTTCGGGCTGGCCTACAAAAATATGTCATCGCTACAGTACTCTATATAGATGACCTGAAAGCAAATAGACTCCCCAGAAAAGGAAAAAAAAAAAAAAGGTTTTACAAGGTCTTTGGCCTGAAGTTGTAAAAACCGTTCCCATTTTTTTTTTTTTTGTATCATTGGCTTTATCTTGAACTGAAATAGATTTGACTGATGAGACTAAACCACTGAAGTCTGATTCTTCTGTGCATTCTTCATTTTTATGAATTATAAACAAATAACAGGCTGATTTACTGATCTAACACATTTAATCCATCATACTCTTAAACTATTTATTCTCTGGATGACAGTAATTGCCAAAACCATGTAAGCAGAGTTACTGAAGATGTATTTGACCTTTTATTAACTAATAGCTTGTACAGCAAGCCTAAATGCAGAACATTTCATTGTACAATTGTGAATAAATTAAATAATAATAATTGGTTAATTAAAGATCACATTAAGCAGAGACCTTTAATAAATGCTAATACACAAATGTCACTGATCAACGATAGACCTTAATACACTAGAGAGCTCCTGACATTTAGCTCAGTCATTAATAGGAGCTCATTTGAGGTGCATTAAGGCTACAATGAGGAATATTTCACAAGTAAAACTTTTGCAGGATAAGTGGCTGAAATCAATGCAGCCGCCCAGCGTGCTCAGGAAACAATAGTCTCTCTGACACATGCTCTATTTCTAAGCTCTCGGCAGGTAGTCAGGGAACTCGGTCTGTCGTCTCAGCACCACGGTCATCCGTCATGCTGCTTTAATTGGCTGCTTGTTCCCATTTACCGTAACATTTATTTTCTCAGGCCCGGGAGAGGAAGATGCAATTTTGAGACTGAAACATGAAACATCATATTTGGTGTTCGCAGACATCAGTACGAGACAGGGACACCAACATAATTTAGGGAACAGGGAGCAATTTTCATGTAATTGGGTGTCATCAGTGGATCCTGGAGGTAAAGCCGACATCAAAGCCTTTGGAAGATCAGTTGGGTGGGTGAAGAGAGACTCGCCGCTGCTGTGGCCATGATGCCAGCTGCAACACACTGCATCTGCAACACACACACAATCTGCCATTCATTAGAGCAGGATCACACACATGCTCATTAACGTGTGGACAGCTTCAGACATCAGCATTTGACTCACTCATGACATTCTCAGAAGTGAACGTAACATCAAAACTGGCACTTTTGTCTCTGTATAGTGAGCAACAGGATGATTTATCACCTTTAAAGGTCCCATGACATGCTGCTTTTTGGATGCTTTTATATAGGCCCAAGTGGTGTCTTTGTGCTAAGAAAACAAAATCTGAAGTTGAGCAGATACTAAGAATGTTCAAACACTTATGTCAGTACTGTAGGCTTCAGACGCGATTCTCATTCTCACAGAGAAACAGATTGGTGCGTGCTAGAATGCACTCTCGTGAACAAAATCAGATTAACACATACACATGCCCACACACAAACACACTGATGCTCTGCTTTATTTATAAATAGCATGTGTTATCTCTCACCTGAGCCCCTGATGGTAATGAGGAGTTCTCTCTGTCTGCCTGAGAAGAGAGATATAATCTCTCTTATAACCGCCGCCCCCCCCCCCCCCCCACAAAAAACA